GGAACATTCTGTTTCTTCTAGGAGAACCATCTGAATGGTGCTTTTAATTAAGGGAGAGTTAGATGAAGAGTTAAAGAATTCTGATTTGGAGATTAAATAACATCTACAAAAAGGAAAAAAAAATCCCACTTTTTGAGAAATATGAATAAAATAGTCCTCTAGAAAAAATAAAGTTGCCAGAGGGAAGAAAAACTGAATTTCTTTGGGGAAAGATGGCTTTTTGGTTGAGAAAAGAAAAGATTGAGGGTAGGCCATTGCATCTGTGAAATATGAATAAAATGGTCCTCTAGAAAAAATAAAGTCGCCAGAGGGAAGAAAAACTGAATTTCTTTGGGGAAAGATGGTCTTTTGGTTGAGAAAAGAAAAGATTGAGGGTAGGCCATTGCATCTGTTTTCTTTTCCTTCAGTGAACTAGATTTGAAGCCCAGTGGTGGGAATGTTGAAGACCAGAAGATGAGCAAACCATTCACAGAAAACTGGCAGTCCTGGGCATATTGCTATTGCTTCAGGATCTGGAAGAGTCTTCCCCAGCTCTTTTCTGGCCCCAGGGATGGGCAGTACATACCCAGAAGCATCACCAACACAAACCTCAGCAAAGTCAGACTTCATAGAAGAATTTGAGCATTGTAGTTCTCAATGCAGGCAGTGCAGGCCTACAGACAGGCCTCATGCATGGTAGGCAAGTGCACTGCTACTAAACCACATGCTAAAAAAATGAGGAAAAGGAGAGGTATTTAACAAAAATGATATGAAAGTCATCTGTTGGGGCTAGGGATTTAGCTCCGGTTCGGTGTTGGTAGGCAAGTGCACTGCTACTAAACCACATGCTAAAAAAATGAGGAAAAGGAGAGGTATTTAACAAAAATGATATGAAAGTCATCTGTTGGGGCTAGGGATTTAGCTCAGCGGTTCGGTGGCCTGCCTTGCAAGCGCAAGGACCTGAGTTCAATCTCCGGTACCAAAAAAAAAAGAAAGTCATCTGTGAGCTTTGGAAATTTATTTGCAAATTTAGTTATGAGTAGAATTTGCATAATTTACTTTGTACCCATTGAAATATCATGTATTATTTTTAAACTTAGAGACATGTATTTACATTCTACAAAAGTAAAAAGGGATATAGAGGAACAAAGGATGTGACTGCTATGAAATAGTGAATTTAAAACATTTAACACTTTTGGAAGATTAATTTTTAAATATTTGTATCCATATTTTCACACAGATGTTTAAAACCTTTCATGTTATTTTCATTTTTTAAAACAGGATAAAACACCTAGGAGTTTGTTCATCGGTTTTTTGTATTGCTGAGGATTGAACCCAGGGCCTCAGCATGCTAGGCAAGAACTCTGCCACTGAACTACACCCTCAGCCCATGTGGGAATTTTATCCACCTCATTTTTTATTATGCAATATTTAGCTACTTACTCACTGTTGCTTGGTAATGTGAAGGGTCTAATGTCAAATGGGGTTGTAGACAAGTCTGGACATTATCCTCTTGTGCAAATTATTCTATCTCTAAACAGATAGCAAGACTTAGGAGTTATATTAAATTACCATTGATTTTCCTACTAATTACTCAGTCATAGGTGGTATTTGCACCAGAAGAAAATTGCTTGAATCTCACTTTTGTCTCATTTTACCATTTTCTCTTATCTTTAGCCCTAGGTGACTGGGTAAGTGTGGAATGTGATTTATCTGCCCAGATCCGAGCCATGATCACCTGGAACAGTTGGGCACGTCCTGCTCAGAAGTACTTTTCCCCACTTCTTTCTAACATGCTTATTTTTTAATTAGGCACACTATTGTGTTTTCTTTTTTTTTAAAGTGACATTATTGAAGTGTAATTTACAGAGAATAAAATTTACCCATTTTAAGTGTATAATTCAGCAATATTTTAAGAAACTTTAAAATCATGATCATCTAACCTGATTCAGTAAGATTCTGTTTATAGTTTACTCCCAGCTCCATCAAACTATTTTCTGTCTGTAGAATCTTGCCTTTTTTGGACATTTCATACAAATGGAATCATACAGCTTATCTTCATTTTTGGCTTTTTTAGTTAGCACAAGATTTTGGTTCATTCATATTGCAGCAACTATTATTAGGAATAGTAGTTGTCCTAGGTTCTTGAACAAAGAATTTAGCAAGACACACAGAAGTAGAAGTGAAAGAATAGATTTGTTAGCTGGGCTCTGCACCTCAGAGTGAGAGTGGGCCAGTGAATAGAGCCTGGGACCTCAGATAACCCAGGGGTCAGAGCCAGAGTGTGATTTTCCCAGAGAGAAATTAACTCTTTGGACTTTGGCATCAATTCACTCCAATCAGGGACAATACCCCGCTTCCTGTTAGAGGGGGTTTGTCCCTATATGGACCTTTGAGGAACCATCATGACACCCAAAACTGGGGGGACATAGTGGGGTGGTGGCATCAAAACCAAAATGTAAATGAGATTATAATTAATTATAGTTGAGTTGGGTCACTTTCAGTTGTTGAGGATATTCTCTAGTGCCTGTGTTCCCAGGCATGGCTTAGTTGTTAGAGGTGAGTGCTCTTTGTGGTTTCTAGGGAGCTTGTCTTGGCCTACCAGAAGCCTTAGTGCCTGCGCCTCTGGTCTTTCCCTGCTGTGGTGCAGCTGGTCAGCCTCTGTGGGTTTTGAAGAATCAGCTTCCTCTTTCCCGCTGACTTTCTAGCCCCCTCCTTCCAGGAATTTCTCCTCTCTACCTCCTGCCTCAGTATTCATTCCTTCTGATTGCTGAGCAGTATTCCATTTGTATGGATAGGCCACATTATGCTTTCCCACTCACCAAACTAACTGATGGATGTTTGGATTGTTTCCAGGTTTTTGTTATTGTGAATAATGCTTCTGTGTTTTTATTTCTCTTGGGGAGATTCCCAGGAGAAAAACTACATTATTATCTCAAAACACCTACACTTTTTATATTCCCATCAACTTGTCTGTTGATGGCTCTAATTTCTTCATATTCCCTTCAATGTTTGCTTTTCTCTTTTTTAATTGTAACTTTTCCAGTGAAATATTATTTAATTATCGTTTCAATTTGCATCTCCTTGATGATCGGTTTTCAGCATTTATATTATATGCTTAGCAACCATTGTGCACCTTCTGTGATGAGATGTCTATTCAAATCTTTTTTTTTTTTTTTAGACTGCCCTGGAACTCATTGTGTAGCCCAGGCTGGTCTTGAACTCATAGCAATCCTCCTGCCTCAGCCTCCCAAGTGCTGGGATTACAGGTGTGCTCCACCACGCCTGGCTGCTTAAATCTTTTGTTCATTTTAAAAATTAGTATGTTTGTCATCCTATTATTGAATTTATAAAATTACCATATATTTGGGATAGAAGACCTTTATCAAATGTATGTTTTTTTCCAAGTCTGTAGCTGGTCTTTTTATTTTTCTAATGGTGTCTTTTTAACAGCAAACATTTTAAATTTTGATGAAGTGCAGCTGATCAACTTTTTGCTTTTATAGGTCATACTCAATGGTCATTTATAAAAGGGAGAAAATTCAGTTATAACATGGGTAATGGGACACCATAGCCTTTCATTTGCATTTTGTTATTTGAGACAGTTGTTCCACTTCTGTGTGTAGATAAGACCGTGTTGTTCTGGAAACACTCAGAAAGCTGTGCATAAACACAAACTTTTAGCATACCCAGACTGGTTTGAATTCTAAATGAGGAGTGTCAGCAGTGCCTATTGCTCTGGCTCTTCAGACAGCCCAGTCCCTTAATCTGCTAATGGAAGCATGCCTTGAAAATAATTAAAGGATTCTTTTTCATGGCTCTGTGGGAAGCTGTTTTCTCTATGCTAGTATTTTTAAAAGACATATAACTGAAATACCATGGAAATAGAAGAAATACATTACTGGGCCTGCTCATAGTCTTATTATGAAACTTCTTAAGCATAAGGCCATTTTTAGGGCATTCAAAATATTTTATGGGCATGAACATAGAGTCCTGAAACTAGACAAATAGTACAAAATGAGCACGCATGTGATTTGGGGTGTGTGTGTGTGTGTGTGTGTGTGTGTGTGTGGTTGGGTATTATACCAGGTAACTTGCTCTTGAAGTCATCAGTAGCAGGGAACAAAGTGACATATGGAACTAGACCATTGTCACAGAATTTTAGAAGTTGAGCAGAATAGATTCTTTTTATTGAGTTTTCTTATTTCAGACGAGAAGATGCAATCAAAGACCATTCTGTCTAGTAATTAATCAACAAATATTTTTCACATACCTGCAGCCCTCCCCTAACTCCAGATTTCTATTTGCACCGCTTACTTTGCTTGAACATTTAATGGGCTTGTCAAAAACTGAGCTCCTGACCTTTCTCCTAAAATGGGCTCCTCTCATGGCCTTCTCCATCTCACTTTACACCAACTCTATCCTTCAAGCACTCAGGAAGAAATTTGTGTACCATCTCTGTCTACTGTCTTTTTTTTCATACTCCAGGTGCGATCCATCACAAATCCTATTGATTCTGAATATAATGTGGGTACTCGCATAGGATTCTGGATTATAAAAAGGGCGTTAGGGAGAAAAAGCCAGGAAAATGAGGTGTCAAACTTAGTTGACAGCAGTGATCCACATTGGTTCATCAATGGTAACAAATTTAGCAAATTGATGTATGATGCTGGAAATAGGGGGAGCGGGGAAACTCTGAAGTACATAAAGTACCTCGAATTCACTCAACTACCTTTTCTGAAGATCTAAAAGCACTCGGAGGGAAGTTTATTAAAAAATAGTGAAGGAGGTGATTCTGCTGGACTCTGGAGCTTGTGACTAATTTTCTGGAGCCAGGGGGGTGGAAAGTCTGACTTTTTGTTTTGATGATCTGAGTGGAGGATGTGCCTGCATACACTTTCCTCTGGTGGGGAAACTTGTCGCCTTACCAGCACTTGTACACACCTGCAAAACTGTAACTTCAAATTGTAACCATTGTAAAAACTGGTAACCTCAAATCAGCTCATAATAATTTCATAGTAATTTTCATAATTTTTTGGAATGGTTTATCTTTTAGAAACATACGTTTCTGCTTAGTTACTCTTCCTGAAGAGCAAAATTCTTGATCCTAGAAAAGTGCCAATAATTCTGCTTTTAAAAAAGATTCTGCTGTAATCCTTTAAATGTTACTTAAGATGGAAAACATCATTTTTATATGGAATGCATTGATCTGAATAAAAACAAAAGCATAAAAATACCAAGGGTATAAGAGGCTAGCTCTGGGATGGAGGGTTGGGGTTCAGCAAATGGGTGACAACTGGCAGGCTCTGAAGAACAGAACGATTGCCTGAAATACCAATTCCAGTTTCTAGGGAATCGGGGCTTTATGCCATTTAAATGAATCCAGGAATGCAGCACTGAGAGAATCTGTCGGGTAATTGTTTCACACGAACTCCTTTTTCTTGGTCTATGGTGGAAAACCAGGAGACAGTCACAGTGTTGTTATGAAGAGAGGTAAGAAAAATTCCTTCTGGTTCTTTTTTCCTATGTGGATGCCTGTGCCTTTGACCTCTTCCTAGAGCTATAAACAGAGACATTACAAGTACCTTTAAGGATTGAGAAAATTACAACAAATCTGCTAAATGTTTTCAGGAAACCCCATATCGCAGCGGGATGTGCTCACAGTTGCATGTAGCACCTCGCATCTTGCCAGCTGGACACAAGCACTTGGATAATCCTGAGTCTGAAAGGGACATTTGATTGCCGAGGACAAATCCAGCTTTGTAATTCTGAGAGTATTGCCACACTGATGAGAGGGGAGGTGAAGGTGATATTTCATCCAGTGTTCCCAGCTCATCCTCTCCTTACCTGACCTCTGAAATGGAGCCATGGGCTTTGAAAAGCCTGTGTCTAAAATTAATATTCTTCTCTATCTGACTAAGATGGCAACAGCTCAGCAACATGAGATCAAGGACCATATCAGTTTAAACAGGGGCTCAGGATGGCATTTAAGAGAGAAGACGCTTCCTCTTGTAGTAGACACTTGTCTTTGTAGAACGGCTCTCCTGACCAGGAGTAAAGACTTCTACCAGGGACCTGTGTGGTCACTTTGAATTCTGCAAAATTTCCCTGAATCTTTTGGAACTTATAACTATGCTTGGTGTGGTTCAAATTGTATGATGTCCTCCTATAAATGGTAATTATTTTTGTATATAACTTCTTAAATCTCCTTTCTTTGTATGTGCCAAACCTCAGGTAGAGTTTACTGTTTAACATGTTATATATATCATAGGTCTGAGGTTTGTTTTCATGTGTTAATCTGTATGCAGCTTTCTAATCCAGCTTTAGTACTATCTGCAATTAAATGTTATATTTTAGTCATAGTTTGGCTTAGAACAGCCATGCGTATGTTTTCTTCTGTTAATAATGATTTTTTTTTCCCAAGGAGGATTTCAAGAATGCTAATAATGATCTATAATACATCTGTAGAGTTCTAATTCATGTTGTTTGCATTTTGATTTTTTGACTCTTTAGGTGGTATGTAGAATTTTGTAGAGCATTGGATTTAAAATATATGTTGGAACTCTATTATTTTACTATATGAGTTGTGAAAAGGAAAAATGCAGTTTCACTGGTAAAATTACAGATAATTTTTAAATTGATAAAAAGCTTGAAGAAACAATTTTCAGACAGTTTCCACTAGGGGGCCTCAGGCGTAAGCCATAGGAAACTACCACAAATTCAAATAATTCTTTATTTCACTCCCCCCATAACCAAGGGGTGTGTAGATACACACATGTGATTAGGTTAGAATCAAAGCAGAACTATGTAGTAGGTACATTACTTAATTTGCAGGGAAAGTATCTCAAAGCACAGGCACTCTGAACTCTTCAGTAGTAGCTGATAATGAAGATGCAAATGTCTCCACAGGAGAGGGCTTATATAAAACAAATCACAATCATTTTAGGATGTAGGCAGAGAGGCTGGAGTGTAGCTCCTCCAGAGAGTACTTGCCTAACATCGGGGTTGTCTTGCAATGCAGAAAGAGCCTCTGGGTAACAGTCAGCTGCAGTTTTCTCTGCCTGGGCCCCATGTTGGACCTTCCTTATTTTCTCCCTGTTAATAGATCTTCCCTAAGCAGAGAGGAGGGATATCAGGTAGAAATGATTCTGTCTGCACTTGCTATTTACTAACATAGATAAATGTAAATTATGAGATGCAATTGAAAAATAAGGTGAATATTTAAATTTAAAAGTCATTACAGTAAGAGACACATTGCCATTAATTCTCCCCAGAATACTCCCTCTCTCTGCAAACACACTCATCCCATTGCTCTTCCCACTTTCTGGAGCAGCTCTGGAAGTGCTCTTTTATGTGTTTAGTTGCTCTGTCCGGCTGCCTCAATATTCTGAATTGATTTAAAACATTTACCTTTAATGGCAGTTTTGACTTTGGGAGGAGCTAGAAGTTTCACAGTGCCAGATCAGTGAGTAAGGTGAATGAGGATTTCCCATAATATTTTTATAAGCCTGCTGTTCTGGCAGATGGCACATGGCAGGCACATTCATCATATTTTTTATCCCATCTTGTAAAGCCACTCACGAAAGAGGACTTCCCGAACTGCTTCAGAATATGAAGGTAAGAGTGATAAGTGTGTTTAAACGGAATGGGAGTATTTTGAGACAGATTAATGGCAATGTGTCTTTTACTATGAATTTTTTTTTATTGAAACATCATCATATTTGTTGATATCCCTTGTGCTTTTAATGAAATGTTGTCTTTTCATAGCCACTCTTGTATCTGCAGAGGTTTGCAGTTTCTCTTACTAACTGATACAGAATATGTCAAAGAAATGTATTTGGGGTGGTGGATTTTATTCTCTCACAATATGCATCCTATTTTATGCAGTGAGAGAGACATACATTCACCCAGTGGAACTCAAGACTGCTTCTTACCATTTCTTTTGTAAGAAACAGTAAAAATAATGATTCTTTTTAAAACTCCCAGCTGGGTGTAGAGGCACACACTTGTAATTCCAACACTTTGGGAGGCTGAGGCAGGAGAATTGCAAGTTTGAGTCTAGCCTGGGAAATATAGCAACTTAGCAGGACCCTGTCTCAAAATAAAAAATAAAAAGTATTGAGATGTAGCTCAATAAGAAGGCCTCAGGTTCCCTGTCCAGTACCACCAAAAGAAAAAAAGTTCCAGCAATGGAAACTCAATATGAATATCAGCATTTCTTTATTTTTTCTATATACGCAGAAGTTAATTCCCAACCCTCACTGACTGTTTTCTTAAGAAGCTGGTACATGAATGAGTAATGAGAATGTTCCTGGTCTCACTTCTTTACAGCCAAGAGAACAGAACACTGAAAAGTCACGATTGTGTCTTGACTTACAAATCAGAGGCAGAGGGAAACAAAACCCGCAGTCCAGAGAGCAGCCTAATTGGGCTCACCACCAAGATGCTGAAGGTGAAGCAGCTAGAAGAAATCAACATATGCTACAGCAGCAACAGGCTGGAGGAAATGACATTTTTCCAGTGCATGGAAGAGGTGGAGAAAGTGAAATGTTTTCTGGAAGAAAATGCTGGTGAACTAGATTCAAGATCTGCAATGGACGAGGTAATAACATGCTGACTTAGTCTCCTAAAAAAGTATTGGTTCTACCTTATCTTTTCTAATGCCATCCTTCTCTGACCCTTTTCAAGTTCTATTTTGTCACTGGTGGGTAGAATTAAAGAAGCTGTATGACTACATAAATTCCACTTTGTTTCGCCATGCACTGTGGGCAAACCATTCAGCTGAGTTTGGTAAGCGGTCATGAGGCCTGCCTGTGCGCTTGTCGCACTGGTGAGTAGTGGCTCTGGAGTCGCCAGGATAGTTTGTGGAGGCCGGGGTGTAGCTCAATGCTGGAGCTTTTGTGAAGCCGTGGGCTCCATCCCCAGCACCTGCCCCGTGTATATATGGAGTGTGAGTGTGTGTGTGTGTATAAACACAGTTTGAAGAAGAATCCTTTAAAATGATGGGTATGGACTTGGAAATCCAGAGAAGCTCTGTGAGGGGCACAGTTGTTCTTCAGGGGTTTCTAGTTTCTTGAAGGCCTCGAGCTCCTTAGGGTAGAGCTATTGACAGTGAAATCTCGAGGGGAGACAGGCAGGACTTGCTGGCCCTGTGTCCTCCACTGTGCAGGACGAGGGTGCTGAGCCCGTGCCAGCTGTGTGTTCTTCGAGAGTTACTCAACTCAACCACGGTGCTGTCCTAAGAAGCATGGTTTTCCTTCTTTCCTTGGGAGGGAGGAGCTAGGGAGCAAATGGCCTCGAGCATGCTGAGCATGCACCATGCTACTGAGCTGCTCTCCGGGCCCTGGGCGTTCCGTCAGGGAGCCCTCAGCAGGGGCGGCAGCCCCCTCCAAGCCCCGACTCAGCATCGCTGAGCCGCACTCTGCCTGTGCCTTTATTCCAGCCTAAGCAACGGTTCTTCATGTGTTTATCCCCTTTCTGGGCAGGCGCCCACAGGCCAGGACCTCGTGTTACTGTCTCTATGTACTCGTTTGTTTATCCAGTCACCGGCATGTAACAGGCAGCAGAAGTGTCTGGTAGGAACAGATTGATGCGAGTCAATTCTGCATTCTGGTTGAAGGCTAGGAATCATTTTTAATAACCAGAACAAGTGATTCCTGCTAGACAGCTTCAGAAGGCATCCTTCCTAGACCACTTATTGCTCCGAAAAGCACTAGTCAGGTAGGGGAGCATTCTAGTAACACAGCAGACAAGGAAATGGGGATAGTGTGTATAAAAAGCCTGGGAGTGAACGAGGAATGATGTGTGCTGGAGAGAAGAAATGAGTCAGACTGAAACAGATTTTTTTTGAGACCCCTGCTGTCCCTATGGGTTAATCTCCTTTTTCTTCTTTCCTTCTTCTCTTCCTCCTCCCCTTTCTCCTTCTTCCCCTTCTCTTCCTCTTGTTCCTTTTGCTTCTCCTTCTTGTCCTTTTATTTCTCCTTCTTTTATTTTATTTTATTTTTTTGAAACAGGGAACCACTGTTACCCAGATTGGCCCTGAGCTCTTAGATTGAAGCCATCCTCACCTCAGCCTACTGAGTATCTGGAACTATAGGCAAATGCCACTGTGCCTGGCTAGTTAATATTTTGCTCAATATAGAAAAATAAGAAATTTCCACAAGCAAATTTGTGAGACATGAAAGACTTTCTCATTAGGCCTGTTAATATTTTAAACCAATAAACAGAAGGCTTTTTTCCCATCTGGTTCATGAAGTTCTGTAGGGCACAGAAAACAGAATATCCTTCTTGCATAACTTCCTATAACTCTGAAATCATCAACTAATGGATCATTTATATAATTGTGATTATTTTTTAAGTATGGTTTTTCTCCAACTTTTCTGGTGAAATTTATAAAGTAGGCAACCATTTTTAAAGAGTGAGATAATGGTAAGTTGGACCATAAACATTTTTAGGAAGGATTACTTTTCTAGTTACCACTTGTTCAAGAATGTTAGAAATCAGTTACATATATTTAGGGAAAATGTTGAGTCTGAAGAAGCCCTAGTAAAAGGGAACCTGCTGTCTCTTTTGTCATCTTCTGGCTTCCGTGGGGAAGAGGGAAGAGGGCGAGGAACCACACGGGCCCCATTCAGCTCCTGATTTGTGAATGGAGAAAGGCCAGAGATGTCAGCAGTGAATTTCTCTCCAGCCACGAGGAGGACGGATGGGTACAGAGCTGTCCCTAGGGCAAGGGCCCAGGGTGCCGGGCCAGGTGGCCCAGCCTTCCTGAGGCTCGGGTGTCTGCAGGTATGCAGACCCACAGACGGCTGGATTAGCACGCCTCGCTCTTCTGCTGGGGCTGCAGTAAATCTTTCCCATTCCACTCTTTCCTCGCCAGGAACTGGGAAAAGATACTGTCAGCTTTCTCCCCTTCTCCCCTTTTCTCTTTGATCTCCCCTCTGAGAAGGTCAGTGCTGTTAATCACAGTAGAAACATTGCCTGGGTGCCCCAAAGAATTTACTCTGACTTTCAGGCACTTGAAGTATAAGTGCTTCCTAGAAGAGACCATGCTGTCGACCCAGGAGCAGAAAAATTATGCACAAATTTAACAATCTCTATTTGTTAGAATAGTTGGCTAAAACTCAAATTATTTTCCTTTTCCTGCTTTTAAACCATGTATTTTTCCTCCAATAACTTTATTTTTAATTTTTTCTATTTTTTCAATTTATTAAATACTACCTATTATACTCTTTTTCTTTCTTGTTCTTGCTCTTTTTAATTTTCTACTTTCCATTTTATTTTGGTGCCTTGTTCTGTTGCATTCCAAGGGATATTCACTAGTCACTTTATTTTTACCTATAGTGCAGAATTTTTAGTTTTCACTCCTCAAGGGGTCCGTGTGTCTCACCCTCCCGTGGACTTTGCTTCCATTTCCCTCCTTCCTTTTTGGCTGCCACCTTGACACAAAATGTGAAAATGTGAAGGATGTCATTGGTCTCTCCCAAGCAAGGAGCCAGGGGTGGACCAAAAGTGATAGTCACCCTCCTCTGTCACCTACTCCAGCTGAGCCCACTGAGCTCCCTGTCCCTCCGGTTCTGCTCTCTCCCTCCTCCCCCTCTCTACCGAAGGGGTAGCTCTGTTCTTCTGACCCAGGCTCAGCTGACATGGGGCTCCCACTCGCCCAGGCTCAGAACCTACATAGTCCATTCAGCATTATATCTTTACCACCAGCAGAGCTCCGTAGTCATTGCCTCTGCCTCTCCCCAGCCTGCTACTTCACCCCATAATTCTGCACAGGTGGAGGCCAGCTGTGTCCTCTGGAATCTTCATAGATCTGCTTTCCCCTACTGTGAAGTGAACCCAGACTTGACACTTGCTCCTGGGTGTACGCATACCGCAGCCCCTTGCCTCCCTCCTTAAGTACCCTCCTTCAAAAGATCTTGCACATAAGAAAGTTGAATGTTTAAGAAGTTTTCAGCAGATACCATGTGCCATAATGAGCTGCACTTAAGCATTCATAGTCTGGTATTGAAATTGAGTGAAATCATCATATATGATAGAAGCTTAATAACTGCTGTGTATGTACATTAAGTTAAGTGATAAAGAGCTCTCATAACTATAACGAGTATTATGTTTATACAATCAAATGTAGGGTTCTAAATTTATTTATTTTGATGCTGGGAATTGGTACCAGAGTCTTGGGTGTACAGTACCATTGAACTACACCCCTAGCCCTGAGTTATTTCTTTTGCCAATTCTCTAGTCTCTAAGTGTTGTATTTTATTAAAGTTTAGTGCAGTCTCTCCCTCCACACACTTGCTCAATAAAAGACACTAATGCCACATAATGTTCTTAGCCACTTGGCTCTCTCTGCTTCCCACCATCTTCGGTGAGTCATGTCCATCCCGCTTTGTTTTTGTGATGCTAGGGATTGAATCCAGAGCTAAGTAAACACTCTACCAACTAGCCACACCCCTAGCTCGTGACCCTGCTTTTCAAACCTGAGATGCTGTGTGCTTATCTCTTGGTCCCTTGATTTTGCCCAGCTCTATACCCCTTGGTTACCTGTCCTCCACCCGAGGGCACAATCCCAGGAGCAACAGCTGTGGGATGCCAGCGTGTGGATGATTCTTCAGCAGAAATTTACACTGATAGGCTGAAAAGTGCATTGCCTTGGTTATATTCCAACCAAAGAGACAATACATTTTCCCCAAAAGTTAAAAAAAAAAATGTCCTTATGGGCCAATGCTCCCCAGCCGTGCTCACAGGACTTCTAAGTGGATTATTTCTGAGTTTATCCTAATCCTTATTGATTTGTGTTTAAAAATCTTCCTTAGTAAGGAATAATTCGTTTTTATAACCAGGCTTAGAGTTTTCCATATCCCATCTGGGGATAGAAGATAAAGATGGCCCTAATGGAAACGGTCCCTCTCTGTCCCTGAAACATTTCAATGTCTGGTATTGAAGCTCCAGAGATCAAAGCAAACAAAATCTTTATCAACAGGGTGTGCAAAAGGACAGAGTGGGTTTGAGTAAAGCATGGAGCTCCCTAATTTGATTGCAGTGGGTGGATTTAATACCAGATGGTATTTCCTGACCAACTGTTATGAACTTGTTCATCCACAGCCTTTATAATGACTGCAACTGAGATCTCAAAATAGCACAGCTGCGGGTGGAGGTTTTGCAATTTTTAAAGTTGCTTTCTCTATCCCTCTTCTTTGCTCCTCTCCCCGCAAGGCCAAGAGAAAACTCTCTGGCAGGCAGGGGCCCAACGTTGGCAGCAAATGCTAATTACATTGCAGCCAGCAGACCTTGAACTAGGGACAAACGCATGCGTGTTGGTGTAAATTATGGCCAGGAGGTCTCCTTGGCCCCTGCACCTGTTTTGGATCTGTCACACGAGCCCATCATATTTTTCCTTTTAAAGAGGCAGAATATTTGTAGATAGTGTAATTGGAGACAGCCATTGCTCTGCTCTACGAGAATCCTCTGTGACGCCCACTCCTCATGGCAGAGCAGGGAGGGACGGACAGTGCTTGGGAAGTGGTTGTAGTCAACCAGGACAGGGCTGGCACCTATAAGTCAAGGGCCTTCACAGCTGCTCCCGAGAATGGACTCTAC